ACAGGTACGTAACACAACAGCGCTGGACTGGTGCATCGATGATTACTTCACTTAAGTGCAGACAGTTCAATATCTGCGGGACCTGACGCACTACCAGATCCTGAATGTATACAGCCGAGATTTGATAGCGAATCCACGCGGCACTTTACAAATGTTACGTGACTTTGTTGGTGTTTTTGTTACAGTGAATTTGTCGAATTAGCAACAAGAGATCTCTATTCTACTCTATTCTAAACCATCTCGGACTAGCAATTGCCAAGCTTCAGAAAAGCTTCCCACAGTGGTAAGATAAAATTGAATTAAGATTAATTTTAACATGAACGTTTGAGTTTGAAAATCATGCCTCATGAGTGGTTAGGAACAAAAGTGAATAACCATTTTATACTGAAATCTTATCAAACAGTTTCTAAAAAGATGCAAACGTTTTAGAGTATTATTTTATTTGACTTATAGGACAATTCAATGTTCTCGCCATAGCTTGTGTGGTATGTCTACATAAAGAGAACTCGTCGTCACTGATTCTTTTTTATGCTAACGATTGTTCGTTTGTAGGAAACCTCCCACTGAATCGTAATAAGGTGTCATTTATGATTAATTATAAGTTGCCAAATATTCGCACTTTTGGTGGGTTGGGTGGAGGGGACGGGCATTAAGTTACATCCCAATTAAGCCTTCTGGGAGAAAAGATTCCATCTTTTCGTTGACTCTCTCTCTTCATTATTTATCGCCCTTCATTAAGCCTCCTTGAGTGCATTTGCTCTTCGTTCTTCATCGGTCTAGAGCCCACTGGGTGACAATCAAATAACAGCCCGCATGTTATTGTCTGTTAATGCGCGATACGCTCTATTTGAATTTGGCCCCTAATGATATTCTGCGTATGTTAAGTTGTGACAACTCTGATTATCGAAAACGTCGTAACAGAAAAACAAAAGTCATCAAAAATATTCCCGTCAACGAAAGACAAGCATTCAATGTGTATAATCCAATAGTTGATAAATAAAGTGTCAAAGCTCGATTGGAACTTTAATTAGTTAAAATTTGCATCCAAACTGACAATTTTTTTATCTTTTAAACTGAATCGTCAAGGTATTCTTTAGCCTTCCAAAAAAAAAAGACAAGTAAAGTATTTTAGAGCAACAACATTTGGAACGCTCAACGGTCATTTTCAAGTTGAAGAATAAAATTTTTATCAAGCGCTATTATAATCAATTGAGACAATACTAATGAGATACCGACTAAAACTCTTAAATATTTACATAGAAGCAATACGAGAAAACTGAGGCAGGAATGACAAAAAACGCTTAGACAAAAGAAACTATTAAAACCCTTCCTCTTTTGAAATGACAGGAAAAATTTGCGTTTATGTGCCATATCGAAGAAAAATTGGAAAACTAAAACAAGATGCCTGCTTTCTATAAGCGCTATGTCGATGACACACTTAGCAAAATTCCCGATGTTTCATCTGCCTCCGTTTTCTTGTCAACACTGAATGAAATCCACCCTTCACTCAGTTTTACAATGGAACTCGAGAACAACGGCGAACTGCTTCTCTTGGAATGATGATTATCAGAAATAGTCCGCGAAAAGACACGGAGGTCTATGTGAAACAAACTGGTACTGGACTTTATTGCATTACCAAAGCCATGTTGACGAAAAGTACAAACATTCCCGAATGAAGAAAATGTGAAACCGTGCTTTTAAACTCTCCTGTCTTTCCATCAAGAATGTCAACTTCTGAAAAAAGGTTTTTTTCGCCTGCATTATCCTGAAACTCTCGTAGAGAATACTATCAGACATTTTATTGAAATGAAAGTCACTGAGGATGTACGTACTAAACAACAAGTCCCCTCCACCCAACCCATCAAATGTGCCAATATTTGGCAACTTATAATTAATCATAAATGATACCTTATTACGATTCAGTGGGAGGTTTCTTACACACCAACAATCGCTAGCAAAAAAAAGATTCAGTGACGACGAGTTCTCTTTATGTAGACATACCAAACGAGCTATGCCGAGAACAATGATTTGTCCTATAAGTCAAACAAAATAATATTCTAAACGTTTGCACCTTTTTAGAAACTGTTTGATAAGATTTCAACATAGAATGGTTTATTCACTTTTGTTCCTAGCTACTCAAGAGGCATGATTTTGGTGTCTTTACTTTGCAGTTTTGAACCCAATCATTTCTCATTTGAATTTGTGATGCAATATTAACTTTTTAGTTTCAACCTCAAACGTTCATGTTAAAGATAATCTTTATTCAGTATTATCTTACTACTATGGGAAGCTTTTCTGAAGTTTGGCAATAATATGTTCGTACTATCTCTTAAACATTTGACAACTTTAAGATTAAATGATACCCCTATGGAAGGTACGATGGATAAAGGAATATTTGTCAAGTTTGAAGAAAAACTACGCATCGCATTTTTTTTTATTGCAACAAATACCCTGGCAGAAAATATTTATTATCATAAATAGATCTTTTGCTACCTTTGCAGGAAAATAAAATTCTAAATATTATATTTTCGATCGACTGATGGCTACTAGTAAGTGAATAAAAACCTATTGAAATGATTAATATTGTGTATAAAGATATATGTCAACAAACTTTATCTCAACATTACAGCACCTTTCTCTTTCAGAAAAGTTTATATTGCATTGAAGCCAGTGTTAATCTTCAAAATTCTGTATCTGCTTTTCTTTGCTTTTGTAGGTAGGTGATGAATCTAACGGATTTCTAAAAGAATGAAATCTTTTCGTGTTTACTTTGTAATTGCCTCGCTGCTTCTCCTCGTAACAGCTTTGTTATTCTGCATCAATCTGTATCCTCGTCCATCCCTCGATGTTTTTTCTAACGTCATTCCTCAGCCTAATGGTAAGTAAACTCCTATAGTGAATCTTTGTGAACTATTACAAGTTGTAGAGAGGTTTCTTTAACGAAAACTGAACAGATTATCCGGCATTGCTGTTCATCTTTAGCTTTCAGTTTTTTAAAAAATATATTTTCAAAATTAAAATCTATTTAACTATTGGTATCCAAATATTTCAGAGAATCCAAAGATAAGGCTCAACTCCAAAGCAAAACCTGCAAGAATCACCTCATTAAGGCATAAATTTTAACTATTCCGTAAACACTCCATGACAACTGAGCTATAAGTGAGAGCGGGATTGACACAAGTTGAATCTTGAAATCATTCCATTCTCGCCAAGAGGTTTTGAAAGCCTTAGTTCATGAATAGTCTTGGGTTTTTACACGAAGGACGACTGCACAGAATCGAAAAGTTATATACATGTGAAAAGACCTTGATTTGATTGTACTTAAATGAAATTCATTTATGTTGAATGTGCTTTGTCATGTTGTTCGCGTTTTAATAAGAGATTACTAAACCTTAAATGAAGAATCTAAATGAAGAATATGTCTGTTATTGCTTTTCACCGTATTTTGTCTATGAATACAGTTTTATCTTGTATTTTGCGCGAAGTTATTTGAAAATTCAGCTCTTCGAATTCTTAATTTTTCTATCTACTGCCTTGAAAACTATTTACCTTTGCCATGAGAATACTTCTACTCAATTAACATGCTTCTATTTGATTGAATAAACTCCTTAAATCCAATTAAAATTTCACTAGGACAATTCTCTGGAGGACATCTAGAGCAACGGCTCAACGCATTTTACGATGGTGTCGAAACTTTTGTTTTATTCCATGAATAAAACAAAAGTTTCGACGCTCGAAGTGGTCTTAGTCTCATCGGGGCAGCCTTGGATGATCACCTAGAGATTTTCAATAAAAACGAAAAGTTATTTTTACAGGAATACTCAACTTTCGAATCGACAAATTTTTAGAAACGGATTTTTTTTTTTGGAAACCATCGAAAGAAATTTCAAGATTTTGAAGAAATGTCAGAGTAAAATGGACTGTTTGATCATTAAAATGTTTTTTATGTACGTACTCAGACCAAAACTGAACAAACAGAGTCTGTGATTCGATCCGTGCAAAAGTATTTACCCAATCGATTCACTTTTTATATTGTTTCTTTCGCCTTAAAACGTTTTTTTGTTATTCTTGCCGCAATATTCTCGTATTGTTTTAATGTAAATATTTTAAAGTTTTAGTCTGTATCTCATTAGCATTTTTACAATTGATTATATGAGAGCATGATAAAAATTTTATCCTTCAATTTGAAAATGGCCGTCGAGCGGTCGTAACGTCGTTGCTTTTTCACATCAATTTTTATCGTAGAATCCGTTTCTAAAAAATTGTTGATTCGAAAGTTAAGTATGAAAATAACTTTTCGTCGTTATTGTTTGTATCAAGCTGTCTGCATATACCCGTTAGTTCTTAGAGATTAATACTCAAACTGAATAATCATAATCAATTATTTCAAAATAAAAAGGCACAGTCAGTGTTAGGATATTTCCTGTGTAAGCCAATCACCGATTGCTTAGCAGCTTCCTAACTTAATTAGCGAGCATTTCACCGAAGAAGCATTTAACGTGTGTAGATTATGTACACGACCGGCTATAAATGATTGATTTGTGCCTGTCTACACAATTATCCCTGATGTCAAATCGTACGAATTTCAGCGGCCCCTTTGGGTGGAAAAGGCTCAAATTTGGTCTCGTTTGTATTAGCTTGGGGATGGTGGTTCTTCTGTGCGGCAATTGGCCTCGTGTTTCACCCAAGTTTGAGCGAAGGACCCGTAGTCACAATCTAGGTGCGAATTTTAAAAAAAGCGTACATGGGAAGGTAAATCCTGAGTAGAAAAGCATTCACCAGTGCACAGTTAATGACGGATGAAGAGGAAGAACGATGGACAAAGCCAAGGCAAAAAAACAGAATATCGAGAATTATACCAAAACCGTTTTTTTTTTCTTAGTTAAGTGAAAAACCATTTTGATAGTCCCTTCCCTTAATCTTATTTACTTCCGTGAATTAATCGTCTTTTTTTCAGGACACTCTCTTTGTCTTAATTAAGTCACTGAATCGCCTTTTTCTTCTTCTTCTTTCAAGGAGAACTGGAGCGGGAGCTGACATTTTTATATCGCAATGTTGAATCTTTTGTGCTCTTCGTTGGACATCCAAGAAGCGGTCATAGTTTGGTGGCTGCCATTTTAGATTCCCATCCAGAAATAATTATTTCGGATGAGTTTAATCTGCTTTATAAGTTTGACAGTTTCTTTAAAGATCTTAGCCAAACAGACGATGAGCGCAAGCTGAGGATATTCTATGACTTACATACTCGCTCGCGCCGACAGGCCATGTTTGGAAGTCGTTCGTCAATTTGCTCCGTATCCTACTGCTACAACATTAAAGGAGGCTGGCAAGGTTATTGCAAAAGGAAACTTAAGGTACGAGATATTTGAAAGGGCCCATGTCATGAAAAGAACCGGATTTGGAAGTCCTGACTTCAGTCTCTCGGGGTTTCTTGTAGTGTTCCTTTACTTCAGTTCGATTCATTTTTCCTTGGAAGTGAATGATAAATCAGCCTCACGCGATATACGTATTGCAGTTAGCATTACTTTTATTATCATTTCCAGGGGGCGCTTTCTAAATTTTGTAAATATGCATTAGTATATGATGTCAGGAACCGCAAGTTTAATGGATTCAATTTGATAACATTGATTATTTACAAATATTGATTAATGGTAAGAAATTAAAGCTTTCCTATGTGGTCTACTTATAGGGATACATTGCATAACGCTAAATCTTATGGGACTTATTTCCTTTGTTTAAGAAGCACGAGTAAATTATTGCCCCAAGCAATGGTCGCTTATTCACAATCGTGCGAGTAAAACTGACTATGATATAGGATTCCATGTATATTTTCCTCAGGTAATTGGAGACAAAAACGCATCTGTGACTACTGCACGTTTGCATCACGAAAAAGGGCGTCACGATTTGCGAAAACTGGAGAAAGTGCTGGGAATTCCAATCAAACTGATTAACGTCATCAGAAATCCATTTGATAACATTGCCACTATTTGTAGGAGGCTGGATGTGAATCCTGGAAGTCATCAAATAGTAAGTAAATATAGAGGTATATCATCTATCGTTTCTCATTGGTTCTTATTTTTCATGGTAATTCTTGATTTTTTTTAATGGACTGGAGAGTTTTACCACGACGTAAAACACTGGCAGAATCAATACGATCACCACATATCCGGGATCAGAGCCGCGTATCTCAATCGCTCGCTGCCCTCAATCGTGAGATATTTACTTGCCACTCGTACATAACATTTACAACTTCTTGTTCTCGTGCAACAACCACTATGTATTGTTCAACGTTTTCTTTGTTATATTGTCATCATTATTTCTGTTAGAATACCTGTGATTAACTGTTTTGTTTGCGCTATATATATATATCGATCCACATAAACTGTTTTCATAAAACAGCAGCAAGTTTTTGTTGAGTCGCAATCTAAAACCTTATGATTTTCTTACTAAGTACGGAATGGAACCAACCTTGACCTCTAGATCGAAAATTATTTCATCAAAGTACAGACAATTAAATATCTTCATGACCTGAGGCACTACCGGATTCTCAATGTATACAGCCGAGATCTGAATATTTCGCTTGTGTCATGTAAAACCTTCTGTTTTTTTTTTCTTGACAGGTACGCAACACAACAGCGTCGGACTTTTGCATCAATTTTTACTTCACCAAATCACCATTAAAAGAAAAACATTCAAGAAAGGCGAGCTTGTTTATCTCGTTCCTAATTCTTGTCTTCTGTTTTGAAGTCTACTCCACCGTCCGTCTCGTCAACGACGGCTTAGCATTCAGTGGTTTGGGGCCAGATTCGACAAAGTTGTAAGAATAACAAGTTACATGTCAGTTGTACAGACAAAATTGCCATTTTTTCCGGTCCTTTTCAAAAGCGGAAAGGTTAAAAATCTTGAAATAAATGTAATTTGTATATGACGGATGGTCTCACCCTTAAAAGGTGCAATAATTTTTAGAAAGTAGATACAAGAAGTCTAAATCACATTCAGCCCAGCAGGACATGTCTAGTTTAACAGAATGTTCTTAAACTTCAAGTAATCGTTAACTTGTATATTCAATGTGTCACTTTGGAAGTCAACAAACGTCACTTTATGCAGCCCATATGAATACGAGAAAAATAAAATAGAGTTGAAGAAAGCAGCTTCAAAACATGTGTAAGTTTTGGTGTGAACGGGATCTTACACTACCGCACAAAGGTAGCTAACTATGAGTTTTTCAGTTCAGAAATTGCTGATCTTTGCACTATGCAGGACACTCATTGCTTGTGAACTTAATTTGTTGTCTGACCCCACAACTTTGACTCCCTATCGAGTTCTCAACGGCTCATTTCTCAGAATATATCGAAATCCAAACACCTGCAATAAGGATCTTTACGAGGAAATTTTGTTTTGCTATGCATCAAGTTCGAGCAATTATTCTAAACGAAGCATATGATCAATTCTATTCGGTGAAAATCTTCTTCGATGGTCATCTGGACTCCATGGAATATCCAATGCCCCCCCCCCCTCTAAAGGGGGGGGGGCACCTTTACTCCTTCTTTAGATAGATAAGATAGATTCTTTATTGAAATACATCGCAGCTCGCAGAGCTGAATTACGCATTTTCGTTAAAATTCTAATTGAATGTACAAGCTTACAAATTGAATAATACCTAAGAGCTAATGATAGTGAAGAAATGTAAAATGGTTTCCGTGTTTACATAGCCTGATGTAAACACGCGGGAGGTTGGGAGAACACGATATAAGCGTAAGAAACCACGACGCTAAGCGGAGTGGTTTCCAGCTTATCGACCTCCCAAGTGTTTACATCAGGCTATGTAAACACGGAAAACATTTTATATTTCTTTTAGAAAATAACTAATGAAAGAGGAACGAAAATCGTGTTTACATACGCTCATGTAAAATGGTTTTATGGCCAGTCAGAGCGCACGTACTATTTGAATTATTTTATAATAATATCTAAAAGGTTTAAAAACTATAAACATCTTGTTGAAATCATATTTTTTAAAGTCTAATAATTTAAACAGTATTCACTAGGGCGCATGAAGCCATAATAAAACTATTCTTAAATCTGTTTGTTTTACGGCGCAGTATGCTGAAGGATCGCGCATGCCTAAGATTGTACTTGCTCTCATGTAGAGGTGCTACATGTATGGCCGCTGTCATTGAAAATACTTTCAAACGTGCGCTCGCAAATGTCACTGTGATGCTCCGCTACGGATGGTAGGTTCGTTAGCGCTAACGCGTGCTGATATTCCATTTGCCAAGGCAAATGATTCGCATTGACCTTTTCTGAACGCGCCCTAGTTCTTGCATTAAGTAGGCAGGCAGAGCATAATGAAACACAGGTACAGCATAATCGATAACGGAGCGCACAGATGTGATGTAAAAAAAAAAACAAAGATCTCTCTGAGAAGCGCGGACTTTGTTAAGCTGGATGATACAAAGAGCCTCTTAGCTGCCTTTTTTATCACTTCTGTGATGTGCGCGTTCCAAGATGGGTCAGTTAAAATAGTTACGCCAAAGAGTTTAGCATCAGTAACAACCTTTATGCACTCTCCTCCGATAACTACAGGAGGGAAATCATGACTGTCATCTTCAGTTCTGATTTTACAGAGTACAAAGTTGAATTTAAACTGTATAACAAAATGCTGATTGGACGAAACAAACGACAGTAACAGAACAATGTATGCAATTACAAGGAAAGTTTTAAATTGACATGATAGAGTTGATGATTAAGTATAGGTTGTGTATATTTCTGTCGCTCCAATACCCTACATAATTCCACCCCCTTTTCTTTCTGTGTTAATTTGAACTGACAAGAATGCAATTGCCAAGCTTCTGAAAAGCTTCTCATAGTAATAAGATACAATTGAATTCAAATTAATTTTAACACGAACGTTATAATTTGAAACAATACGAGAAAATTGAGGCAAGAATGATAAAAAACGCTGAGGCGAAAGAAACAATATTAAAAGTGAATCGATTAGGTAACTACTTTTGCACGGATCGAATCACTCGTTTTTTCAGTTTTGCTTTAAGTTCGAGAATAAAAAGCATTTCAAAGATCAAACAGTCCGGTTTACTCCGACATTTCTCCAAAATCTTTAAAATTATTTCTCTGGTCTCAGGATCCTTTACATGCTCGTCATTTACGTGATTGCCGATTGTTGATAGCTTGTGTTCCTCCACACGTCAATGTAACGGTCGGCTCGTGAAGCCGACATAGTCTGCAACACACAGACAACACTTATAATAATAAACAACGTTTTGTTGATTAACAATTGGAGCTTATTGTTCTTTCGGCTTGAATTGTCCTTTGATCTTCTGACTTGTGTAAACAACTGGACATCGACATCAATCTTTCGGCTGAGATCACCGAGTTGGTGTCTTACCACATTTGCTGATTTCCGGGCTTTGACCGGTAAGACAATTCTGATAAGAGCATCATGTTCATCGGATACTTGTTGTTTAGCACGTACATCCTCGGTGACTTTTAATTCAATAAAATGTCTGATGGTATTCTCTACGAGAGTTTCAGGATAATGCAGGCGAGAAAAACCTTTTTTTTCAGAAGTTTACATTCTTGATGGAAAAACATCCAGCTCGAGGAGAGTTTAAAAGTACGTTTTCACCTTGTCTTCATCAGAGAATGTTTGTACTTTTCGTCCACATGGCTTTGGTAATGCAATAAAAGTCCAGTATCTGTTTTTTTCACGTAGACCTCCGTGTCTTTTCTGGGACTATATCTGATAATCATCATTCCAAGAGAGCCGTTTGCCGTTGTTCTCGAGTTCCATTGTAAAACTGAGTGAAGGGTGGATTTCATTCAGTGTTGACAAGAAAACGGAGGCAGATGAAACATCGGGCATGTTGCTAAGGGTGTCATCGACCTTCTATGTAAATATTTTTAATTAGAAATTTAGTTAGTATCCTATTGACATTTTTTCTATGGATTATATAAGCACATGATAACAATTTTATCCTTCAAATTGAAAATAACCACTGAGCGGTCGAGACGTCGTCCCTTTTTAACGTTAATTTTTATAGTAAAATACTTAACATGTCATCTTCTTTTGGAGGGCTGAAGAATACCTGAATGATTCAGTTTAAAAGATAAAAAAATTGTCAATTTAGATGCAAATTTTAGTTAATTCAAGTTCCAATCGAGCTTTTACACATTATTTATCAACTATTAGATTCTACACATTGAATGCTTGTTTTTCGTTCTTCAACATTTGACAACTTTAAGATTAAATGATCGGTGGATAAAGGAATATTTGTCAAGTTTGAAGAAAAACTACGCAGAGCATTCTTTTTATTTGCAACGAATACCTTGGAAGCCAATAAATATTATCATAAATAGATCATTTGCTACCTTGGCAGGAAAGTAAAATTCTAAATATTATGATTTCGATCGACTGATGGCTACTAGTAAGTGAATAAAAACCTATTGAAATGATTAATACTGTGTATAAAGATATATGTCAACAAACTTTATCTCAACATTACAGCACCTTTCTCTTTCAGAAAAGTTTATATTGCTTTGAAACCGGTATTAGTCTTTTTTTGTCTATGAATACAAATTTATCTTGTATTTTGCACGAAGTTATTTGAGAATTCAGCTCTTCGAATTACTAATTTTCTATCTACTGCCTCGAATAACGAGAACTGGATCATTAAAAAATCAAGAGAAAACGTGTTCTAATTACTAGAAGGAATATGTCGCAAAAATCCACTTCAGACGACATCTTGGCGTCGGGAAGCTTGACAGAATTTTATTGTTCGCATTTACAGTCATTACATGTCCTAGGTTTTTAAATTTTCCACGCACGCAAACCCACCTGGATGTAACAATTAATGATTAATGCACAAGCGAGAGAAACACGCGCGGCGGAAATAATGTATTGAAAAAGGTACACCAGGTAAGATTCAATAGGTTATACCGTGATGTCTTACTAAGTTTTTTGGTTTTTGATATCTTTTGACAAAGATGAATATGAATATATGGCACCCAGCACGAGATGAGTTGTTGCGTGCAGTCCTTCAGAGACTTTATTACCTCAAAAGACACGTAGGCGTCAATTTACCAGTTCATCCCTGCTGATAATCTAGTCTCACCTGTCAAATTGACTTATCCCGTTGATAGTGGCTATTGAGTAATACCTACATTTGCATCATAAAACACGTTTTTCGTCTGCCCTCTTTCACAAGATAAACTCAGCTGATCACATCACATCCCGACTCTGTCTATGACATGAAGGGGTATATAGGTTAGCTTTTATTCCCAGGTGAGACATGAAAGGATTCTTCGCTTTGCTAACCAGGCATGAAAGCGCTTTTTTTGCTACGGATTAAAATCTTTCCAAAGAAAGCTTTCACTTGTATTTAATTTCGGTCTTGGATCTCTGATAAGGTGCTCTCTCTGGTTTCCAGATTCTCGTGGAAGAATAAAACTGGCAACGATATGCCTGGTCAAGTTTTAGAAACATCATTAATCCGACCTCTTTCGGAGTTTCTTTAGTTTTTGGCTTCATTGCTTTTTCTGATTTCAATTTTGTT